AGAAGGAAATGGCAACCCACTGCAGTATTCTTGCCTGGGAAATCCCGCGGAGAGAGGAGCCTGGCAGGCTACAGTCCATGGGGTCACAAAGAGTTGGATGCAACCAAGCAGCTGACACTTTCACTTTCACCTTCTGGACTCCCAAGGACTCACAGTCCTTGGGGATCAACAAGCAGTGCTAGGTCTGGCTGCTCCCTGGGCAGTGGTCATGCTGGTGACAGGGGGTAGTCCTATTTCTACCTGTCTAGGGATTGGTGCTTCAAGCCCAGAGAAGGCCAGAAGGAAGTAAGATCCTCTTGTTCTAAAGAGCTGATCAGCTGGGCTCAGGCCCCTCTCTTGGACTTTCTAAGATGTAGGTTACCTGTCTTTGGGCTTCACAGGTGGCGCAGTGGTGAAGAATCTGCCTGCCAATGCAGGAGATGCAAGAGATACCAGTTCTAGCCCAGGCTCGGGAAGATCCCTGGGAGGAGGGCATGGCAACCCGGTATTCTTACCTGAGAAATCCCATGGGCAGAGGAGCCTGGCAGGCTACAGTCTGTGGGGTCGCAAAAGAGCTGGACACATCTGAGCACACACACACAAGTGAATTTGCATTTTATTAACTAGTTAGCTATCTGCTGATGACAACCCGGTATTCTTACCTGAGAAATCCCATGGGCAGAGGAGCCTGGCAGGCTACAGTCTGTGGGGTCGCAAAAGAGCTGGACACGTCTGAGCACACACACAAGTGTATTTGCATTTTATTAACTAGTTAGCTATCTGCTGATGACAACCCGGTATTCTTACCTGAGAAATCCCATGGGCAGAGGAGCCTGGCAGGCTACAGTCTGTGGGGTCGCAAAAGAGCTGGACACGTCTGAGCACACACACAAGTGCATTTGCATTTTATTAACTAGTTAGCTATCTGCTGATGACAACCCGGTATTCTTACCTGAGAAATCCCATGGGCAGAGGAGCCTGGCAGGCTACAGTCCGTGGGGTCGCAAAAGAGCTGGACACGTCTGAGCACACACACAAGTGCATTTGCATTTTATTAACTAGTTAGCTATCTGCTGATGACAACCCGGTATTCTTACCTGAGAAATCCCATGGGCAGAGGAGCCTAGCAGGCTACAGTCTGTGGGGTCGCAAAAGAGCTGGACACGTCTGAGCACACACACAAGTGCATTTGCATTTTATTAACTAGTTAGCTATCTGCTGATGACAAGCAGTTTGCCCCCATGCCACCCTGAGTAGGGAATTGGAACAGCCTGCCCTGCCATCATTTGGTTGCCAGGGAAACACGTTTTCCCGAAGTCTAGAAATAGCCAAGTGCGGACCCTCGTGCCTGATGCTCTCAGAGATGGCTAGTGTCCGGTGAGGGGTCTCTGGCACTTGAGAGGCGCTGAGGCTTCTGCTAAGGTGAAGAGATTGGCTCCCAGGGCGCTGGGCAGGAACACTGCTCACCACAGACCTCTGAGGAGCTCCCTGGGGGACCCCTTCCTGAAGAGACCAAGACCAGGCCACTGTGATAAGAAAAGCAGCAGAGACACCAACTGCTGTTCATTCGGCAAAAAACGGTTTCCCTTCTGTCCTCCACGGCCATTGCCAAAGCCAGCCCAGAAGGGGTGAGGTATTGCTAGGGAGGAAGGGTAGTAGCCTCGCAGTGGGCTCCCTTCCTCGCTTCCCAGCGTGTCTCCTCACTCCCGCACTGGGTGCAGGAAGGGGTTGTGGGCTGCACTGCGTGCCCTGCCATATCCACATGTTGAAGTCGTAATCCCCAGCACCTCAGAACGTGATAGCGTCTGAGGATGGAACTAAGAGGTAATCGTATACGTGTGCGTGTGTGCTCAGCTGTGTCCAACTCTTTGTGACCCCATGGACTGTAGTCCGCCAGGCTTTTCTGTCCATGGGATTGTCCAGGCAGGAATACTGGAGTGTGTTGCCATTTCCTCCTCCAGGGGATCTTCCTGACTCAGGGATCAAACCCATGTCTCCTGGTTTGTTTATCATTGGCATGTAGATTCTTTATCATTGTGCTATCTGGAAAGCCCAATCCTACATGACAAGCATCCTTATAAGAATACGGTGTTTGCTGTTATATTTTAAATGGATAACCAGCAAAGTGAAAGTGAAGTCGCTCAGTCGTGTCCGACTCTTTGCAACCCTGTGGACTGTAGCCTACCAGCCTCCTCTATCCATGGGATTTTCCAGGCAAGAATACCAGAGTGGTTGCCATTTCCTTCTCCGAGGGATCTTCCCGACCCATGGATTGAAACCGGGTCTCCCGCATTTTAGGCGGACGTTTTACCATCTGAGCCACCAGGGAAAACCAACAAGGACATACAGCACTGGAACTTTTTGCTCAGTGTTACGTGGCAGCCTGGATGGAGAGGACTTTGGAGGAGAATTGATACATGTATGTGGATGGATGAGTCCCTTTACTGTCCACCTAAAGCCATCACAACATTATTAATCGGCTATGAAAAAGAAAAAGGTGAAAATGTTAATCCCTCAGTTCATTTCAGTTCAGTTCAGTCGATCAGTTCTGTCCGACTCTTTGCGACCCCATGAATTGCAGCACGCCAGGCCTCCCTGTCCATCACCAACTCCTGGAGTTTACTCAAACCCATGTCCATCCAACCATCTCATCCTCTGTAGGTGATGCCATCCAACCATCTCATCCTTTGTCGGTGATGCCATTCAACCATCTCATTCTCTGTCGTCCCCTTCTCCTCCTACCCCCAATCCTTCCCAGCATCAGGGTCTTTTCCAACAAGTCAACTCTTTGCATGAGGTGGCCAGAGTATTGGAGTTTCAGCTTCAGCATCAGTCCTTCCAATGAACACCCAGGACTGATCTCCTTTAGGATGGACAGGTTGGATCTCCTTGCAGTCCAAGGGACTCTCAAGAGTCTTCTCCAACACCACAGATCAAAAGCATCAATTCTTCAGCGCTCAGCTTTCTTCACAGTCCAACTCTCACATCCATACATGACCACTGGAAAAACCATAGCCTTGACCAGACGGACCTTTGTTGGCAAAGTAATGTCTCTGCTTTTTAATATGCTATCTAGGTTGGTCATAACTTTCCTTCCAAAGAGTAAGTGTCTTTTAATTTCATGGCTGCAGTCACCATCTGCAGTGATTTTGGAGCCCCCCAAAATAAAGTCTGATACTGTTTCCACTGTTTCCCCATCTATTTCCCATGAAGTGATGGAACCAGATGCCATGATCTTAGTTTTCTGAATGTTGAGCTTTAAGCCAACTTTTTCACTCTCCTCTTTCACTTTCATCGAGAGGCTTTTTAGTTCCTCTTCACTTTCTGCCATAAGGGTGGTATCATCTGCATATCTGAGGTTATTGATATTTCTCCTGGCAATCTTGATTCCAGCTTGTGCTTCTTCCAGCCCAGTTTTTCTCATGATGTACTCTGCATATAAGTTAAATAAGCAGGGTGACAATATGCAGCCTTGACATACTCCTTTTCCGATTTGGAACCAGTCTTTTGTTCCATGTCCAGTTCTAACTGTTGCTTCCTGACCTGCATACAGGTTTCTCAAGAGGCAGGTCAGGTAGTCTGGTATGCCTATCTCTTTCAGAATTTTCCACAGTTTATTGTGATCCACACAGTCAAAGCTTTGGCATAGTCAGTAAAGCAGATGTTTTCTGGAACTCTCTTGGTTTTTCGATGATCCAGCAGATGTTGGCAATTTGATCTCTGGTTCCTCTGCCTTTTCTAAAACCAGCTTGAACATCTGGAAGTTCACAGTTCACGTATTGCTGAAGCCTGGCTTGGAGAATTTTGAGCATTACTTTACTAGCGTGTGACATGAGTGCAATTGTGCGGTAGTTTGAGCAATCTTTGGGATTGCCTTTCTTTGGGATTGGAATGACAACGGACCTTTTCCTGTCCTGTGGCCACTGCTGAGTTTTCCAAATTTGCTGGCATATTGAGTGCAACACTTTCACAACATCATCTTTCAGGATTTGAAATAGCTCAACTGGAATTCCATCACCTCCACTAGCTTTGTTCGTAGTGATGCTTTCCAAGGCCCACTTGACCTCACATTCCAGGATGTCTGGCTCTAGGTGAGTGATCACACCATTGTGATTATCTGGGTCATGAAGATCTTTTTTGTACAGTTCTTCTGTGTATTCTTGCCACCTCTTCTTAATGTCTTCTGCTTCTGTTAGGTTCATACCATTCCTGTCCTTTATCAAACCCATCTTTGTATGAAATGTTCCCTGGTATCTCTAATTTTCTTGAAGAGATCTCTAGTCTTTCCCATTCTATTGTTCTCCTCTATTTCTTTGCATTGATTGCTGAGGAAGGCTTTCTTATCTCTCCTTGATATTCTTTGGAACTCTGCATTCAAATGGGAATATCTTTCCTTTTCTCCTTTGCTTTTCACTTCTCTTCTTTTCACAGCTATTTGTATGGCCTCCTCAGACAATCATTTTGCCTTTTTGCATTTCTTTTCCATGGGGATGGTCTTGATCCCTGTCTCCTGTACAATGTCACGAACCTCCGTCCGTAGTTCATCAGGCGCTCTGTCTATCAGATCTAGTCCCTTAAATCTATTTCTCACTTCCACTCTATAGTCATAAGGGATTTGATTTAGGCCATACCTGAATGGTCTAGTGGTTTTCCCTACTTTCTTCAGTTTAAGTCTGAATTTGGCAATAAGGAGTTCATGATCTGAACCACAGTCAGCTCACTGTCTTGTTTTTGCTGACTGTATAGAGCTTCTCCATCTTTGGCTGCAAATAATATAATCAATCTGATTTCAGTGTTGACCATCTGGTGATGTCCATGTTTAGAGTCTTCTTGTGTTGTTGGAGTGTCCAGCCACAGGCCGGCCTCAGTGACTGGGGGCAGTGGGCCCAGGGCAGCTGAACCATGGGGCTCAGGGCACGGGGCCAGCCGCAGGCGGCGGGCTGCCTTCATCGTGCCCAGAGCTCGCCTGGAGTCAACAGCTGCCCATGGAACATCCTCGCCCGCTCCCGCCGGCGAGCAAGATGATGTGCGAGGTGATGCCAACCATCAGTGAAGCAGAAGGCCCCCAGGGAGGAAGTGGGAGCCAAGGGTCCAGCTCCCCTTCGCAGTCAGATGCAGATTCACATTTTGAACAGTTGATGATCTCCATCCTGGAAGAGAGGGACCATCTTCTCGACATGCTGAGAGAGACCCAAGAAACGCTGGCATTAACCCAGGGGGAACTGCACGAGGTTGGTCTGAAAGAGATTCCATGCAGAGGCAGCTCAGTACCACGCTTCCACAGGGCTGGATGACTTTCCCCTGCAGGTTTTCGTCTAAAGGCCTTTTGGGGGGCGGGGGGGGGTGCTGCTCTTTTGGATGTGTATTTTGCCATCATTACTCGGCAATGGTGGTTCTGTTATTTGTAAGTCACGTACAGATAAAGTTCTTGAGGGATTAAACTTCTTAGCTAGAGCAAACTGTGGTGTGCTGTCAAGTCCTGGGAAGATACCTTATCGGTCCTGTTCATCTCTTTGGGGGGGCAGCAGAAGGAGCCGCCTAGATTTGGAGGAGCGCTGCAGAGCTTTGGAAAAAAGGGCCACCAAGTAACCAATCTCTGTGGTGCCTTCCATTTTGTTGCTGTAAGCCTTTCCCCTCCTAATCGTGTGACTCCATGGGTTGTATCAAGTATTTCCAGTTTCCTAATGCAGTGTCCTGGGCAAATGGAATGGATCTCCCAGGAAGAATATATTTACAGTCTGCCTTTCTCAGCAGCCAGGTGCTTTGTAAGTCAAGTTTGTTTCAGGGGATAGAAGACTGATGATGGGTTCCTTCGGCACTTTCTCTTTAGCAGCTGAAAATTATAAAGCTCACAGTCACAACAAGGTTTTTCATCTAAGGGTATTGGCGTTTGGAGCCATGTCTCCAGGCCTTTTCTTCTGGCAGAGTGAGGATCTAATGATAGGAGCAGGGAGGGGTCAGCTGAAGACTGTGAGGTGGGTGGCGCAGAGTATAGCACGAGACGCGAAGGCTCCTTGGGTGTTTATGGCTGTGGAGGTGCCATTTGACTTACTCATAACAGGTGCCTTTATGGGGCTGTCAGGTAGACCTGAATAAGCATGCATGCATTCTCTCATGATGGGTCTGCAGTGGTAAATTAGTAAATGAATAATTACCAGCCTTGATGCATTTCTTGGCTTTCATCAAGTCTCCTGAAAGATTGATAAACCAAACACTTGGATTTCCTCTTTAGCAACAAGAATTTGATGTCAGTGCTAAAACATTCTGTTAATCCCTCAGTCGTGTCCAACTCTTTGTGATCCCCGTGGGCTATAGCCCACCAGGCTCCTCTGTCCATGAGACTTCCCAGGCAAAACTACTGGAGTAGGTTGCCATTTATTCTCCTAAGGGGATCTTCCTGAACCAGGGATTGAACCCATGTCTCCTGTATTGCAGGCGGATTCTTTACCATCTGACCCACCAAGGAAGCCCTGTTATGTTTCTTTCCAACCCAGGGATTGAACCTGGGTCTCCTGTGCTGCACGCAGACACTTTACCATCTGAGCCACCAGGGACTTTGTTACATTTCTGCTGCTGCTGCTGCTGCTAAGTCTCTTTAGTCGTGTCCGACTCTGTGCGACCCCATAGATGGCAGCCCACCAGGCTCCCCCGTCCCTGGGATCCTCCAGGCAAGAACACTGGAGTGGGTTGCCATTTCCTTCTCCAATGCATGAAAGTGAAAAGTGGAAGTGAATTCACTCAGTCGTGTCTGACTCTCAGCGACCCCATGAACTGAAGCCTACCAGGCTCCTCTGTCCATGGGATTTTCCAGGCAAGAGTACTGGAGTGGGGTGCCATTGCCTTCTCCGATTCTAAACCTACTTAATTAAGCCCAAGTTGTGTTCATTCTTTTCCTGATGCTTGAGCATAAAGTAACCAAGGACTCCCTTCCAAGGGATATTTAGCTTTTCTCTTCCCCGTTCCTAGCTCTCTCCACTTTCACCTTGATATACTGAAACTCTAACTTTACCATAAAAATTTAAGTGGTGGAGTTTTTGCTTACACTAATTGGTATTACTTAAGATTTTTTTAATTATAAAATGTAGAGTTTGATAAAGTAATAGTTATCTAGTTTCTAACTCACCCACTTCTCTTTAATGAGTCCAGGTGAATGTCTCCTGCTTCAGGTACTTGAAGAGTCGCTATAGCTGGAGGAGTTGTGTTTTTCTTCCTTTTTCTTTGTAAAAGAAAAAGTGAGCTTGATAAAATTCTTATTCTGGCACTAAATGTATCTCCTTGAATCATCTTTATGTGTCTCCTTACCAGAGGTGGCTCTTCCCACATTCTGAAATTCCATCTGAGAATATTTTTTTCTTTTCTTTTAGTGAGTGGGTGTATGTGTGTGTATACTAAAAAGTAACTTTTTAAATTCAGAACAGTTGTAGATGAATAGTAGAGTCGTGGAGATAGTACAGAGAATAAATATAGTGATGTAAATTGTTGAAGCCACTATGGAAAATAGTATGGCAGTTCCTTAAAAAATTAAAAAATAGAGTTGACATATGATCCTGCAATCCTATTCCTGGACATATATCCTAAAAAGATGAAAACACTAATTTGAAAAGATATATACACCCCAGTGTTCATAGCAGAACTGTTTATGATAGCCAGAACACAGAAGCAACCTAAACCTCCATTGACAAAGATATGGATAAAGAAGACATGGTACATACACACAATGGACTATTAGTCGTAAAGAGAATGAAATAATGCCTGATGTGGACATGGAACTTATCTTTTACATAATCACTTATCCATTCATTTGCACAAACATTTTTGGAGAGTCTACTTTAAGCTAAGGGGTGTGTTAGGCCTCAGAACTTAAAAATGAATGAGGGATGGCTCCTGCCTTCGGGAAGCTTATGCTGACCTGGAGAGGGACCCAGGGTGCAGCTAAGGAGAAGAGAGGAAAAGCTCTGTGGATGCGGAGGTCAAGAACTCTAGGCCCAGCGCGTCAGACAGATATTCACAGGGGCCTTGAGGCAGGAGGACAGGAGACAGGTGGAGAGAAGGACCCTGAACGAATTGCCACATTCCTTAAGAGAAGAGGGGTGTAGCATAGATGTGGCTAACAGGACGGAGAAGGGATAAGATGTCTTAGCCAGAAGAAATGAGCCGCCCAGAAGCGTGGCATCTCTGGGGAGGAAGGAGGACAATTGACCTGGAATATCAAGGCTGTGAAGACAACCCCTTGTCCAAGGTGTCCCAGAATCTCTGGTCTTCTGGACACTAAGCAGCTTCTCAGCCGCCTCTTCCACCACTTCCCAGGTCCTCAAGGAAGAGAAAGGAAGAGAGGTTCAGCATCCAGGGGAGAGGTGGTGGATAAAGAGGGGTTTTAGCGCGATTCAGAGAGTCCAGAGAGTCGTCCGTTAGAGGAGAGGGAGGCAGTGAAAGGCAGCTAGACAGGGAGGATTCAGGTTGGTAAGCACTCATTGCTTCATCAGTGGATGCCAAGGCAGCTGGCACTTCGTGCTTTCCTCCCCACAGACACCCCTCACTCTTTGCCTATTTCAGGTCAAGGTGAGTTTTCCCCAGGAGGTTGACAAACAATAGCTCTTCCCTGGACCATGCCTCCTCCAAGTGTGTGGACATATGGTCTACCAGCTGACTGTCCTGCACCCTAGCATCTCCGCAGCTGCTGTGAAGGGAAGCCTCTTCCCCTGGGTTCTGCTTTGTCACAGTCGCCCTCCAAGTTCTGTTTCACTGACGTCTGGAAGACAAAGACTAAGGGTATAAATAAAATAACACTTACCACCCCTCCTTCATGGTTTCTATTGATCCTGGCTTAAACTCTTGAGGCAAATTGATGGTTTTAATATTAAACTGAAATACCAAGAGTCAGCAAAGAGATTAGAGAATTGAGCAAAAAAATAACCCTTTCCCAAAGTGGAATTTTTCCAGCGTCTTTGGATGTGGTTTATTTGGGCCAGGAAAATGTTCCTTTCAGGTCAGGTATTGAGACACACAAGATGAATAACTTTATAAAAATTAAGAAAGCCAGAGAGTCTAAACATGTTGAATTGGAAAAGCACCTGAATCTCCTATCTCCTGGGAAAGGTGGGGGAAGGTCCCTGTTTAGCCTCCCCTGATTGATCCAGATCCCTTTTTGGTCTCAAATCCGGTATAGCCCTGGCCATGGTGAACTCTTCTTCTTCTTCTTCTTCTTTTTTTTTCTTAATTGATTTATTTGGCTGCACCAGGTCTTAGTTGCTGCATGTGGGTTCTAGTTCCCTGACCAGGGATCAAACCCAGGCCCCTGCATTGGGAATAGGGAGTCTTAGCCACTGGACCACCAGGGAAGTCCCAACCATGGCGAACTCTCGATTCACCTTGTTCTCGCACCAGGAACACCATCCCCACCTGAGTCAAGGGCTAAGGTGGCACGGTTTGTAGGTTTGTAACTTCATGTGCAACTCAACCTTGTACCCGCATTTCATCTCACTCCTATTTTTTCATTTCAGTCTAACTTTAATAAAGATGTATCAGTCTTTTAACAAACATTCACAAACATTGACTGTCCCAGCACTAAAGGAAAACATAATGATGACAAGATATTCTAGATGGAGGAACTCTGGGTAGAAAACGTGATCTGATCATAAATGGAGCCATCAGTGTCTGGAAGGCAGGAATAAGGTCTAGTGGGAAATGTCTTATTAACTAAATCATGTCTTGATATTACATTCTGATCTGATGATTTTAATCCCTTCAAATATATATCAAAGCATGTGTTCTTTAGCCATGTCCAACTCTTTGCAACTTTATGAACTGTAGCCCACCAGGCTCCTTTGTCCATGAGGTTTTCCCAGCAGGAATACTGGAGTGGGTTGCCATGCCCTCTCCCAGGGGATTGTCCTGATCCAGGGATCAAACCTGCATCGCTTGTGACTCTTACATTGGCAGGCAGGTCCTTTACCACTAGCGTTGCCTGGGAAGCCCTTAACGTGTGGTTTTTACATTTCAAAAATAAATCCTCCTCAGGATGGCTGTGCTGGGTCTTCGTTGCTTTGTGCGGGCTTTCTCTGGTTGCAGAGAGGGGAGGCTACTCTTCCTTGTGGTTCAGGGACTTCTCACTGTGGTGGCTTCTCTTGTGGAGCACAGGCTCTAGAGTGTGCGGGCTTCAGTAGTTGTGGGCACAGGCTTAGCTGCCCCACAGCATGTGGAATCTTCTCGGACCAGGGATCAAACCCACGTCCTCCACATTCACATGCAGATCCTTATCCATTGTGTCACTGGGGAAGTCCTACTCAGGACATTTTTAAGGCAGTTTGGACACTCTTTTTATTTCATCTGAAAATTACATAGTTATCCGGTTTATTTAGTTCATTTACTATTGGTCTTTCATCTTTCATCACTGAGTTGAAAGTTGTTTTCTTTCTTTTTACTTTAACCATATTCTCTTAAAGGTCCAAAGTTTCCAACAAAAGGGCTGATGTAAACAATATCATGTGTGGTTGTGTAACTCTTACTGTGAAGACACAATGCCTTTAAAATATCAAGTGAGGAAAATCACCTCAGTCTTGACCCTGGCCAACAGCTAATACCAAGTCTCTGGGAAGTGGCCTGTGATGGTAAAGAGCTATAGGTATTGGAGTTGTTTCAACCTGGGTTTGAATTCTGACTCTACCATTTAGTGACACAGCCCAACATCTCGTGGAAGTAGACTTGCTCATGGCAGGGTCTACAGATAGGTCTTAAAATATTCTTTTGGAGAAAATAGGATTTAGACTTATTGCAAAACCTTATGAAAGTGAAAATAACCTTTATTATAAAATAAAAACTAAAAACTGAATCCTAGAAGTGTGATGGCTAAATGACAGTTTAAAATGAGGACTCTTAAATATGATGAGAAGCTTGAGAGACTTCAAAGACAGAAGGTTGAGTGCAGTCTATGTTCATGACATGTATCATTCAGTTTAGTTCAGTTCAGTCGCTCAGTCATGTCCGACTCTTTGCAACCCCATGAATCGCAGCACACCAGGCCTCCCTGTCCATCACCAACTCCCAGAGTTTACTCAAACTCATGTCCATTGAGTCGGTGATGCCATCCAGCCATCTCATCCTCTGTCATCTCCTTCTCCTCCTGCCCCCAACCCCTCCCAGCATCAGGGTCTTTTCCAATGAGTCAACTCTTTGCATGAGGTGGCCAAAGTATTGGAGTATCAGCTTCAGCATCAGTCCTTCCAATGAACACCCAGGACTGATCTCCTTTAGGAACTGGACATGGAACAACAGACTGGTTCCAAATAGGAAAAGGAGTATGTCAATGCTGTATATTGTCACCCTGCTTATTTAACTTATATGCAGAGTATATCATGAAAAACGCTGGGCTGGATGAAACACAAGCTGGAATCAAGATTGCCGGGAGAAATATCAGCAACCTCAGATATGCAGATGACACCACCCTTATGGTGGAAAGTGAAGAGGAACTAAAAAGCCTCTTGATGAAAGTGAAAGAGGAGAGTGAAAAAGTTGGCTTAAAGCTTAACATTCAGGAAACTAAGATCATGGCATCTGGTTCCATCACTTCATGGAAAATAGATGGGGAGACAGTGGAAACAGTGTCAGACTTTATTTTTGGGGGCTCCAAAATTACTGCAGATGGTGATTGCAGCCATGAAATTAAAAGACGCTTACTCTTTGGAAGGAAAGTTATGACCAACCTAGATAGCATATTAAAAAGCAGAGACATTACTTTGCCAACAAAGGTCTGTCTAGTCAAGGCTATGGTTTTTCCAGTGCTTATGTATCATTGGGAACCCTCAAATGTCATTTACAGAGGAGGCACCCTAGAAGGTAAAGGCCAGATACTCACTGCTTCTTGAAGAGTCTAGAGTTGGTATGTGGGATTTTACAGGGTTTGTTTGTTTTTAAATTTTATTAATGGATAATGTGCTATTAATGTCTGCTTACAGCAGAGTGATTCAGTTATACACATATACGCTCTGTTTCATAGTCTTTTCCATCATGGTTTATTACAGGACATTGAATACGATTCACTGTGCTGTACAGTAGGTCCTCATTGTTTATCCATTCTATGCAGAATAGCTTGCACTTGCTAATCCCAAACTCCCAGTCTATTCCTCTCCTGCCCCTTGGCAGCCACAAGTCTGTTCTCTATGTCTAGGAGTCTGTTTCTGTTTCATAGATAAGTTCATTTGTGTCATATTCTAGATTTCACACATAAGTGATAGCATATGGTACTTATCTTTCTATTTCTGACTTATTTTGCTTAGTATAATAATTTTAATTTCTAGGTCTATCTGTGTTGCTGCAAATGACATCATTTCATTCTTTTTATGGCTGAGTAATATTCCTTTGTGTCTGTACACAACATCTTCTTTATCCATTCATCTATCAGTGGATATTTAGATTGTCTCCATGTCTTGGCTATTGTAAATAGGGCTGCCATGAACACACAGGTGCACCTATCTTTTCGGATTATAGTTTTGTCTGGATATATGCCGTAGGATCACAAAGAGTTGGTCATGACAGAGCAACTGAATAAGAACAAGTGCCCAGGAGTGGGATTACTGGATCATATTGGAGTTGGTATGTGTTAACTTGATGCTGTAACTTTGAGCCCCTGGTCAGCAATATAGGAGCAGCTCTCATTAGGACAAGTCCCTTTGGTACCATTTGTGTAACAAAACCCATCTCCAAAGTGTAGTTAGAGCCAGCACTCCCTGAGTGCTCACTGGGTACCACCACTCTAAGCCCCTTATGTGGACTATCTACTCAGTCATCACGAAAATGATTGAAGATGCTGTTATTACCAGCCCCGTTTTATCATCAAAGTGACCAACCCACAGTCCTCTAGCTAAAAGGTGGAATCAGGATCTGAAGCCAGCCAGACGCTCCCAAGCCTGTGCTCTCAACTCTCAATAATAACAAGGTTGTCAAGATATGCTAAAACAATACCAAATCCAGCACATTTTAAACATATGTATCTTAAAGCTTACCCGGTGGCTCAGACAGTAAAGAATCTGCCTGCAATGCAGGAGACCCAGGTTCGATCCCTGGGTCAGGAAGAATTCCCCTGGAGAAGGTAATGGCAACCCCTTCCAGCATTCTTGCCTGGAAAATCCCATGGACAGAGGAGCCTGGTTGGTTACAGTTCATACGGTAGCAAAGAGTTGGACACAACTGAGCAACTAACACATGTACACTTTAAAAATATACCCAATCCCTCCCTCAACACTTTCCAATAAGAAATGAAAATGGTCGTGTCAATGCTACTTTATTTTTTACACAGTTGACTATTCTAGTGAATACAGAGACCAAGAGAATTCTTTTTAAACAGTGCTCACAGAAAGAAATTTGACGTTTGTTCAAAGCAATTGCTCAGTTGCCTGATCCAGACCCCCTTTGCCATTGAATTCTGAAAAGAAAAAGGAAAAATGTACAGGTCAGATGGAATCATTATCAGAATGGAGACAAAGCAGAGGGACATGTTATTACATAACATATTTAAAAACGCCTCATCTTGTCATGGCATAAATGCCCACAATCAGGACTCATGAGATGTGATATTGCTGTAACTGACCAGGCCATTAGGTCAGTGTGAGGGGGATGGCCTCGGGGACCAGCTTCCCCTGTGTGGCCAGGGCAGCATGCGCCCCAGCATCTGCACGGAGCTCTCAGACGCTTTGGCCTGCCAGGGCCTCCGTCACTGCTGGCTGGTCCAGGTTGTGCTCCAGGAGGGAGGCTGGGGCGCCTCTGAAAGACAGCAGCCTCGTGTTCCTGGAACCACATCATTACAAGAGACAGAGACGGTCCGGAGCTGCCCACATGCAGACTCCCCCAACACCATCACAGGCCAGGAGCCGAGAAATGTCCCAAGATTTCACCTCGGGGTCTCTGAGCATAATTGAATGGAGGGAATACTCTGGCCGGGCTGTAGTCGGACATGCTCCCACTATAGAAAACTCCTCCCCACCAAGCATGCCAGATACGTGGATTTGCCTCATCACAAGGGCCCAGTGAGAAGTCACGAAAGCTTCTGTCTCCTCACAGCTGCTGCTGGAGACAGCGCACCTGCAAAGACTGCCTTATTTGGGACAATGCCAGGCTGCAGTGGGGTCTCTGTGATGCTGAGAGCATAAGAGGGAGGGAGCAGAGGTCCTTAGGGGTTCCACATGGTCCCCACTTTTTGGATCACCTCTCCAGCTGCCTCTCACTCCCCCGTGTCTGACATACAACATTTATTTGGAGAAGAGCTGCAGAGAGGCTGACCTTGGACAATCCTACGAGGTGTCAAAGGCAAGGTTTCTTCCATTCCTTGGCTGAAACAAAACAAGACAAAAAAATGGAGCTGCTTATAGTGCTGAGACCACATTGCCTGGAATCTGATTATTGGTTCCAGATTCTTTCTCTACTACCCTGAGTTTCTGTTCTCCTAACTGGGATGTTAGCAGCTTCCTTGCGGGCTCAGCTTGGGAGTGGGTCTGTGGGTCCTCTGGAGAGCGCCCCAGGACCCCTGCTGCTCCTTCAGCCCTGACACTGTCCCCCACCCCACCACTCCATCCCTTAGCCTCTGTTTATACGGCAGGACCATCCCCAAACCATTCATCACAAGATTTCTCATCCTAAAGACATCATGGAGACCCAGACCAACTGTTTCTGCAAGTACTTTCCAGAGAACAACCACCAATAGGGCATGCAGGTTTAAACGGTGTAACTGGGGTGTTGTGGAGGTGGGAAGAATTTCTGTGGTTAAGTAAGTTTGGAAATGTGTGACTGAGCCACATTAAAGAGCTTGTTTCCTGAAGACATGGAAGTGTGCTCTGTAAACATTGGAGTGTCAGGTGCAGTGTTTTTGACCATATTTGATCTTTGCAGAGCATCTCTTAGCATCAGTGACCACAGAATGAAGATGTAGGTGCATACGCTTAGTCTGACTCACACGTTTTTCTGATGCAAACACTGAAGATCTAAGGGGTGAAACAGCTAGTGAGTGGTAGATCAAGAACTAAAAGACCATATGCGACTTTTGCAAGAGGCTTCAAGTCCCATTGGGAGAAGGACCAGTAGACTTCTATTCCCAGGAGAGGGCCAAGTTTTCTGGACCTTCATGCTAGGGAAAATGGACTCCAACTGTGGTTGGTCCCCGCATCTGTCCATCAACATAGCTCCTGCCTCCCACCCCTGAGCTCCTCCCAGAGCCCTGGTGTCCTCAGCCTGTGTCCTGCTGGACCTTTGCCTTTCCAAGTGATGACTCACACCCTAAGGGTGAGAAAGTTCCCTCAGTGATTCACCAGTTCCCCATGGGGCCCTGGCCAGGCTCATTCAGTAATAACCTCATAATTGGGGAGGTAGAACGGAATCAGGGTGAAAAAAAGAAAAGAGGAAACATGCTTTACCCTGAAAAGGAAAAACGGTCTTCCCGAGGTGGCAGTGTAATCCTGCAAGATAAAAACACAAACCGTTACCCGATCAGGCTGTGCCAAAGGTCTTTCAAAGATGTCTATGGAAGTAGTTTTCAAAGTGTGGTCCCCAGACACAAAACACCAATGACACCTGGGAACTTGTTAGAAATGCAAAACCTCAGGTGCCCACTGATTCTCTGGGGTTGGGGCCCAGCCATTTGAATTTTAACAAGGTCCCAGTTTCTTATGGTTCATGGTCAACTTGAAGAAGCACAGGTATTGACACATGGGGTTCATACCACCTACAGCATCCCTCCCCAAATTTGCACAATGGCCTGTGGGCCCCTGAGCCAGAACACAAATCTCCAGGAGCAGATGGCCCCACGCGACTCATCTGTAAGAACTGACATGAAATAGTCCCCCCTGGGGCGTGGTTCCTTTGTTCCTTTCTGCTCCAGGACAAGCCCAGGGAAACCCCAAATTAGATGCTCAGCCTCAGAGAATTCCAGAGCATAGTGTGAGGCCAGTTCTTTGCAGAAGTGGTCCAAAGAGCCTGCAAATATTCCCCCATCTCTAGGAGATGCAGATCTTTCTTTTTGGGGGTGGCGTTCGCCTTAAGGTTTACCTACCTTTTTGGTAAAATCCGCTGCAGTGGCCCTGGAATCCTGCAAAGGAATGAGGACCAGGTTCATTTAATAGGAAATCACCCCCTGTTCCCTGACTTGCAGTGGTGCTGTGACCTGGCCTCTCCCTGGTTCCATTCAAAGATAACCAGAAGTCAGATGCAAAAAAGTCATTCAAGGAGACAGCTAACCTTGGAGACAATTACAGTTTCTTATTCTGGAAGGTGAGGATGTTTTCTTGATGGTGTTGCCTTAAGGTTTGCTGCTGCTGCTGCTGCTAAGTCGCTTCAGTCGTGTCTGTCTCTGTGCGACCCCATAGACGGCAGCCCACCAGGCTCCGCTGTCCCTGGGATTCTCCAGGCAAGAACACTGGAGTGGGCTGCCATTTCCTTCTCCAATGCATGAAAGTGAAAAGTGAAAGTGAAGTTGCTCAGTCGTGTCCGACTCTTCGCAACCCCATGGACTGCAGCCCACCAGGCTCCTCTGCCCATGGGATTTTCCAGGCAAGAGGACTGGAGTGGGTGCCTTAAGGTCTAGGACAATGTTAAACTTGCCTGTTCTTCCCAACAGCCTCCACTTGAAATTGACTCCTGGCATAGGCATATTTTCCAAGGATAAACCATTTCAGTTTCTTCAGCTCATCTTTGCCAGTAAATCTGGCCCATTAGTGGAGGCTGACTCAAGCTGGAAGCCTGCTGTCAGCATCTGAGCAGATAGACTGTGATGGCCTGTGCTCAGGGTGACCAACTGGCTTCTCAGGAAGTGAGCAATTTTCTGGGGTCTTGGCATTTTCAGAGCGAAACCTAAGAATGTCCTGGGCCAATTGCAAAGAGTTGGTCATCTTACTTGGATTCACACTGTCCAAAAATTGTGTTTCTTTGTTTTGCTCTCATGCAACAAAACTTTGATGGACCTTTTCAACAGGTTCAGCTATTACTGAAACTGCAATGCAATGCTAAGTTGCTTCAGTCATGTCTGACTCTTTGAGGCCTATGGACTATAGCCCACCAGGTTCCTCTGCCCGTGGGATTCTCCAGGGAAAAATACTGGAGTGGGTTGCCATTTCCTTCTCCAGGGATCTTCCCAACCTAGGGATCAAACCCATGTTTCTTGCGTCTTCTGCATTGGCAGGTGGGTTCTTTACCACTAGTGCCACCTGGGAAGCCCATTATTGGAACCAGTCATAGCTAAACTTAAAAAAAAATTAATCAAAATGATTCATTTTTAAAATTTAATTTTTATTTCATATTAGTACATAGTTGATTTACAACATTGTGTTAGTATCAGATTTTTTTAAGAAACAAAACTCTGATGTTGCAGCTAAGACCCAGAGCAGCCAAATGTAAATAAAAATATTTAAAAAAACAAAAGAAACAAAGAGATAAGAATAAAGGAGCAGGTGGGACAATGGGAAGCAGTGTATATGACCAGGGCAGGTGTCCATGTCATGAGAAGGAATAAGAAGGGGCAGGGAAAGTGGGGAAAAAAAGGCACAAAAACTAAAATGGAAAAGGATGAAGAGCACAGATGAGGAGAGGATGATCATGAAGCTGGACCACAGCCCCTCCCCCACCCCAGCCCTGCAGCCACCGTGTGAAGTTTGTACAAGGAGAAAATGCCAGTGAGCACCACCCAAGGCAACAAAAGGCGTTTACCACGGTGAAGTGAACTTTTAGCGGCATTAACAGTATGGTGGAAGGAAAAAGTACATACGCGCCGCCAAAATGTCTTCATCCTTCGATCAGCAAGCTTGGCTGCCAGACGCATTAGAGGGTGCACGGGGGGAGACTGGCAAAGAAGCAGTAAGGGTCAGATAGTGCCAGGACGGAGCCCAGGGCTATGCACAATCCTGTCTGCTCACCCTCTTACAAATGGGTTTAATTTTCAGAGTAAAATCCATTTCCAAACCTAAGCCTGAAGTTTTATGATATCAATAAAGAATCGCTTGCCTGGCTCACACATTTCATTCCAACACATCACTTAAAAATATTCCCTTAGGGGAAATCAGACTTGTATCTGCATTAACCCCAAGCATTTGTCCCATTGTGGAGTACTTCATTTCACAGAAGCATCTCTGCGAAGATCCTCTCTGGCACTCCAGGTGTGATCTCCTCCTCTAAGGGACAAGCTAAAAGGTGCCATTCATCACCACCACCCAACTATCTTATTTCCCTGAATGCCTCATCTGTGACTGCCCAGCACACACTCAGACATACACACCCTACCTTATCTAGTCCTGTGAATTCTCCCCAGGTATTTTGGCTCAGAGTAAAACTTAATTTTTGTTTCCCTGGTGGTGCAGTGGTAAATAATCCACCTGCCAATGCAGGAGACATGGGTTTGACCCCTGGGTTGGGAAGATCCCCTGAAGAAGGAAATGGCAACCCATTCCAGTGTTCTTGCTTGGGAAGTCCCATGGACAGAGGAGCCTGGTGAACCACAGTCCATGGGGTCGCAAAAGAGAAGAGTCAGACACGACTTAGTGACTGAACAACAACAACAAAAGCTAACTTGCATCATAGGCATGGGATTTATCTTTTCCCTCCCATTTTTATTGTTTTAAAGATTTTTTGATGTGAACCACTTTTAAAGTCCTTATTGAATTTGTTACAATATTGCTCCTGTTTTATGTTTTGGTTTTTTGGCTGTGAGGCATGCAGGATCTTAGCTCCTCAACCAGGGATTGAACTTGCACCCCCTGCATTGGAATGCAAAGTGTTAACCACTGGACTGCCAGGGAAGCCCCCTTCTATTACTGACATCGCTCCACTTGCAGTGCCCATGGCCTGACTTGACCATATCCCCCTCCTTACCTGATCCCCATGACCAAATCTATACTATTCTTGAGTCTTTGCCTCTAAGGAAAAAGGAACATTTTGCTTGGTATTTCTATGTTTGTTTGTGTGCTTGTTTTTAAGGATCTTCCTGAAGACTTGGAAAGTCTTGATTAAATAAATAAGCAACTTTCTAATAGTATAATTTCAATCACTGTGACTGGATTGAAATTCTAGTAAAAATTCTATTCTGTGATCTTTCCAATATTCTCCAAATCATACCCTGTAGAAATTCAACCATCTCTCCCTGAGGATAGCTCAAATTTCTAATAAGAAAATTAGAGATGATGCTTTTAATTCCCACAGCACATATTACATTGTGACAGTGACAAAATACACTCATGGATCACTGTTGGGAATATGGCACTTTACATTTAACAAAATAGTTTTCCAAAATTTAAAAACAAAAGGTAATAATGAGCAATGTAAATAGAGTTCAGTCTTTACCAGGCTGCTCTTCTCGTCCCTCTTTTTAAGTGCATAATAAAAAGTGATTTCTCACTAATTTTTCCTTTTCTGTAATGTGTTCTCTAGCTTTTCAGATCTCTCAACCTCCCTGGCCCCTTCCCCAAAAAGGGAGAGAGATGATCCTTGTAGTCCTCATAAAAAAACACCAAGAGTGTCTGTAAGTCCCCTGTTTTTCTATTTATCTGCATATTTTAAAGATTTTTTTGATGTGAACCATTTTTTAAAGTCTTTATTGAATTTGTTACAATATTGCTTCTGTTTTGTGTTCTGGGTTTTTTGGCCCCAAGGCATGTGGGATCATAGTTCCCTGACCAAGGATCGAACCTGCACCCCCTACATTGATAGGTGAAGTCTTAACCACAAGACCACCAGGGAAGTCCCTATCTGCCTATATTAAATGAGAAGGGACAAAGGCAGGCAGAGGAAAGTGACTTCTACAAAAAGATGATTATGATAAAATACTGACCCCTGTTTTAACCGGATGTGTTGGCTCCTGAGTTCTGGAGTAGTGAAATAAAAACTAAATAAGAGGGACAGAAAGATTGATTTTAATTCTAAGTGTCACTTGCTGAAAGTGTAGCAATTGCATACTTTGTTACTGGGCTGGTAGTACTCACCCTTTTGTATATGTCTTGATTATCCTGAAAAGAGAATAGTGAGGATGTCACATAGAATTTTACTAGGGTAGGTTTCCAGTAGACATTACAGCAGGTACCTTCTTGACTTACCTGAATATTATTAAATAAATTGGCAATCTAAAAGGAAATGATTTTACCACCTCAATACAGCTGTAGTTGATGTGGAATCTTGCAAAAAGGAAATTTGCCAGCAATAACATTACTTTAAAACTTAATCTTATTTTACCCTCTCGATCTTCAGGGGAAAACATACTCTATAATGCATTGAAGCAATACCCTAATCAGTTCCCAGATAGCCATCTGACCTAAGAGGAGGGATAAAATAATGGTTGCAACTTTTAATTTGCTCCTGGGCATATGCTAGAATTCAGTTTTTAAGGGTTGTTTCATATAGCCCAATTTCTCCCCCTAAAATCTCTCTGCATGAATCTTCACTGTTTTTTCAGAAAACCCAGCTTTTAATTTCTAAATCCCTGTTAGAGCATCACTTTGTTCTGTTCTGTCTGCATGAATGACAGCCCAGGAAAAGCTGTACTGGCAGCAAATCCTACTCAAAGATGTACTGTGAATGATCTTGCAAATATCTGGTTACTATTGGTCTCATCTCATTTATAATACTGACTGATCTCATCTCATTTATAAACATTGTTGAATCAGCTCAAACTTCAATCAAGACAGAAACGAAAGTCGTTAGGAACACTTCGATTTTGTTGCTGTGAGTAGATCTTCCTACAAACTGTAGAGAGTTTCTTCAGTAACCGATACTTACATAATTCTCTCTTTCTCTCTGTGCTATGCATGTACATGTACACACATGCATATGGACACACACACAAAAACAAACCTTAACTATGAACAGCAGAGGCTCAGTGGACATTAACTCTCTGCTTCCTTACCATCACCATTTCTAAATCAGCTGAAAGTATTACTACTTTTACAACTCCTGGTCTCTTGTGAGCTTCTGTTCATAGAAGTGTGTGTGTGTTGTGTATGTGTGGTGTATGTGTGTGTATGTGTGTGTGTGTGTGCATGTTCTGGACACATATCAGGTAAACAATATTTTTGTTACCATGTTTATCAACTTTATACCATTACTTTCCAAGTTTAAAAAAATGTGAAGATGATTTTCTAGGTGATGAACGCCAACCCTCAAGCTCATATGCACTTTCCTGCTTTATTCTTTTGTTTTTAGAGAAAAAAAAAAGTTTTTTAAAATTTTAGTTATCTATCTTGTATACTATTTCCCCAATTAGAATATAAGTTCCATGAAAGCAAGTAATTCTGTCCATTTGGATCAGTACTATATCCCCACATAGTATGCAATTATATGTATATATGTGATTATGTGGGCTTCCCAGGTAGCTCAGCTGGTGAAGAATCCATCTGCAATGCAGGAGACTCTGGTTCAATTCCTGGGTCAAGAAGATCCCCGGTAGAAGGGATAGGCTACCCACTCCAGTATTCTTGGGCCTCCCTGGCGGCTCAGATGGTAAAGGATCTGCCTGCAATGTGGAAGACCAGGGTTTGATCCCTGGGTTGGGATGATCCCCTGGAGGAGGGCATGGCAACCCACTCCAGTATTCTTGCCTGGAGAATCCCATGAAGAGAGGAGCCTGGTGGGCTAGAGTCCATGGGGTCTCAAAGTTGGACACGACTGAGCACAGCGCAGCATGTGATTATGTATATGATATGTACATGTGACTATGATAATTGTAAGAATGCAGATGAACTACCAATATTTTATGGTCATTTCTATTTAGGAGATTCACTTGTTATTTCCCAAAACCATACTTTTATACACACAATGCATACACACAGAATTCTGTAGGTTGCAAAAGAGTGCTTATTTACAGATATTGATTACAGCATAAACAGGCGCACTGTTATAAATACAAGAATTATCTTACATACATCAAATTTTTTTTACCTTAGGTTGTCTAGAAAGACTTGCCCAATATGCCATCCGCTAAAAAAATGAGGAAAATGATTCAAAGATAAGTACAAATTCTTTAATCAATAGAATCAAAATTAAATTCTAAAATTGTTTCCTTTATGAACGTTGCATTATCTTCTCACACAGTGGCCATGAATTTCAACACAACCCCCAAGATAACTTACATGTGGCCATGAAAATGACAACAGAGAGTTTCTGCTGCAGCCAAGAATCTGATCTGAAGACAGTTTTCAGTGAACATTGTTCACATGATATTTTCAAGATTAAGACTAAATAAAAATCTCACATTACTGAACAATGGTGTACCTCAAACTTCACAATATCCAGGCCATCTGAAGCATCAGCTAAAGGTCGAGGAAATCCTATTGTGAGAAATCATAAAAACCTCCATTAGGAAAAAAGAGGTAGTAGCACCAACTTTTCAATCTTTACCATGAAAAACATACAGTGATTCTATTAATATGATGTTGTTAAAAGGACTGACAAAGAAACACACTTCTACCTACCACTAGCAAATCTCAGGCTTGTGCCAAAATTAACTTAAAATTGCAGTTTTTCATATTTACCAAGAGTTAGCAAGTCAGGAAAGAAGAGAAAAAAACACCTACGTAATACCTCAATTTGTATTTAGATAGAATGTGTAAGGACAGGATATCAAGAAATGGTGTAAATAAGAGGAGATATACATACAGCCGATTCACTTTGCTATACAGCAGAAACTAACACAACAATGTAAATCAGCTATACTACAATAAAAATTAATTTAAAAAGCAACCTCCTCAAAACCTTGTATCTACCTCTACAAAACACTACTACTTCATATTTTATTTTTCTCCTAGTTATATTAATAAAATGTAGTCATTGTTTTAAAAAAAATAAGTATGTGCAACAGAGTTAGTCTTGGAACTTTAAATAAATATGGCCATTTGTCTCTCTGCCTCATCAGACACTTCAGGGGTAGGATTATGGGGAAAGTTGCTACCGGCATGTACCCGAACCATCTGCCTGTCAATTTTTATCTGACCTAAATGAAGTCTTCATCTCATTTGCATACAACACAACACTTGAAAAAATAGTTAATACTGCAACTGAAAGAATCAGCTGAAGGATAGATCAAAACCAACAAGATGAAATTAAATGGGATAAATATGAGATGCTCAATTCAGATTTTTAAAATCTGAGGCAGGGAATATCTGGCTCAAGAGTAGTATTTTTTTTTTAATATTAAGTGATATTTTGCTCTCTGCAGTCTCGCTATGAGCTAAGGAAATAATACTGTATGCAAATAATACTGTCCCAACCTTGAAAGGTTATAGTCCTACCTGAAATGATAGAATATGTGCTGAGCTGATGGAACTGAGCATAGGTTTCTTTCACCAAGAGAAAAATTATGAAGTGTGTGTTAACTGCCTTCAACTATTTTGAGAACTGTCATAAGAAATATTAGTCTTATTCTGTTTATCCCCAAAGGGCAGAACCAAGACTAATGGTTAGAAATTACATGTGATCATATTGCAGCTTGATGTAAAAAAGTTTTTGATGACTGGAGGTATTAAAAAATGCAAAGTAATTCAAAACAATCCCCTAAGGATTTATTAAGAGTTTCTGTGTTAACATTACAATGATAAAGATCATAAGGACCCCATACTCAGGGAACAGAAAATTAAATTATAAAAAGAGGGAGGTGGATATAAATATGTAAGCAGATAAATAAAAGGTAATAAGACATTGTAATATTAATAAGATGCTTTTGAAAACCAGGGGAGACAGATACTGGCTGACTTTGTTTGGTAGTGAGCTGAGTGTCACTAAAAGTAATCAAATAGGGAAACCATAGAGGTGATCCCTGCTCTTCTGAGAGGCTAAACTAGATAAATTCCATGGTTCCTTGCAACGCCCAGTCTTTGTGATTACACCGCAGAACACAGAATAACAAATATGCTATTTGAAATGTATTTTCTGGTCGAATATATTTTCAAAGATATTCTGCTCCTTAAACCAAAATTCTAATGGAAAAACCTAAAATTTTGAAATAACTGTGTTTCCAACATGAGCTTCCACCTCCTCCTTCCACTTCCTGTATCATATAGCGAGTTACGCGGAGATGGGTAAGAAATTTTGACTACGAACCCCAAGCCTAACCCTCGTTCCCTACAAAAGCACTGATTCTCAGTTGCTGACGTGACCACCCGAGTCCCGTCAGCACCTCGGACAGCGCCCAAAGACTTGGCAGATGGGAGCTTCTTGGACGCTGCCCCCACCCCACTTCCCCACCACCACCCCTCCCAACAACCCTGTCCAATCCACAGGAAAGACTATGAAAAGATTCCTTTTTCCTGTGTTCACTTCTACACTGCTCCTCTCCAACTGTCCCTCAATCTTCAGTCTTTGGGACTGTAAGTGCAGTATTACCATCTCTGCTCTCATGTCTTCAGAATTCTAAGACCACATATGACTAACACGTTGGAGTTGCCCCCTGACTTATATTCCTCACAGTTTCAGTGGCACATCCTGGGGCCAGCCCCAGGGCAGCAGCTGTTTAAAGGCAGTTCCACATGGGAAAGTAACCTCCTCAGGTAAAAGGCTGTGGCATCCACCTTTGTCCCTCCTCTCTGATGGAAGCCATTTCTAGAGGGTGGGTGAGGAGATCAAGCTAGACTCCTTCCAGAAGTGCCTTGAAGGATCAAGGTCTGTCCCAGTCTTCCTCAGAGCTCAGACCAGCTGGGGTCTCCTGGAAGGGGTCCCCTTACCTGAGGAAGGAATTTGTAGCAGGCAAAAGCAATAGATGGCCAAGATGGATGGGAACTGGGCAAGACATTTCATCTTCAAAGTCCAGATTCTCTTTGCTGGCCACAGATGTGTTCTGCCAGGACAGGAGCTGAGCATTTCCTGAAATTCCACCGGCACAGACAACCCTTCACCACGCGTCTGAACAGCTGGGTGGAGAAGGTAACTTTATTTGCAATGCCCTGGAGTGCATGGGCTGAGCACCAATCAGCTTTACGCAGGAGGACTGGCTTTCTCGTAAATGTCATGCTGGGCCCTTATTTGTAGAATAATATCTTCCTGGTGTATGTAGGCATTGTAGAGTCATCTTTTCAAACCAGCAATAAAAATAAAAAGTGGAGAGTCATAATTGCTATCCTATAGTGGTTTGAGAAACATTTCTGACTCAAAAAAAAAGGCTTTTTCTCTCTTTTTAAAATCAAAGCACTGGGCATAGATCTATAAACTCTTGAATGATGAAGTCTTGTTTTGTAAGAAGCTGTTTATTTTCCACCATTAACAAAGGATGCTTTATAGACTTTGCTGTATCTGAGAACAAAATTTGGAGTACTGGATATAACTTTACAAGTAACTCAGAAGTTCAATTAGGGTTTTTCAAAAATTAAGTATGGTTGGAAATTAGACTTCTTAAAGTTTCTCCAGATTCATTTCTATGAACAAGTAAAGTATTTCAAGTTAAATCAGTATTAAAGAAATTATGACAGTGTTTAATAATAATAATAGCAAAATTACTTCATCTACTAAGCTTTCATTTAGGATACCATATAGGTTATTTTATGCAATCTTGCAGGAAACCCATAAGGAATGTGTTTCTTTCCTAATTTTATGAATGGAGAAATTGAGGCTGGGAGAGATTAAGGAACTTGCCAAGATCACGAAGCCATCAAGGATGCAAACCAGGGATTTGGACTCAAGGGTGGGATTTTAGTTGATGTGTTATTTTTTTCTAAAAAGAGCCTCCTTGAGATCGGATATGAGATAGAAGAAAAATGAAGTCAGCGAGCTTGCGAAAAGTGTAACATACATGGCAGATACAAAACAGCTTTAGGATTTTTTTCACCATGCTTGTCTTTAATTTTTGCTTTTAAGGATTAGGAGAGTAAGTTTTGGTGGAAGTTGCTCAGCATGGACTATTTATTTATGACTTAAAATGAGATATTTTGTCAAAAAATTTCTAATTCATAACAAAGTGGAATTATAAACTATAGCCATAATATTTTGCCTAATTTTTGATCCAATGAGAAATACAGATTTCTATTTATTACAGTATCTGACACTTTGGTTCAAGGAGAACAACCAAAGTCTTTAAACATCACAGAGAGAAGATGTCTTTTGTATTAAAATACAGTTGAACAGTAAGTCTACGCAGTGAAAGAAAAAAATGAGTGATTGCTTTTTGAACATAAACCTCTTATCTGTATCATATTGAATACAACTGCTTATGGACATTATAGACACAAAACACACAAATACTAGCAAAGATCTGTGTTCTATAAATTCTATAAAAGCAAAGTTCTATAGAGCATCAGTCAGCAATTACTTTTCAAACATCGGGCCTGTATCTACCAGTCAACTGGGTGCTCTATGCACAAACATGCATTTTAAAAATAAACCTGTAGGATAACTGACTTGTATCAGATTTATTTTGTTTCCTTTGCATATTTTGAATTCATTGTTTCTCATATTCAGGATAAAAATTATTTTTAATAATAATTCAGAAATGGGAAAAGGAAAAACCGAGAAAAAAATCTGCATTGATATTATTCAACAACATTGATGTAGACTGAATTGTGTTCAAGCCTTGACCCCTTCAAGGTGACTTTATTTGGAAACAGCTTGTAAGGAGCTAACTAAGGTTAAATGAGGTATAAGGATGGAGCCCTAAGCCAATAGGATCGGTGTCCTTCATAAGAAGGAAGAACACTAGCGTGCTATCCCCACCCTGCTATGTGCTCACAGAAAAAGGCTAGAAAAGGATACAGGAAGAAGGCCCTGTCTGCAAGCAGAGGAGAAAGGTCTTGTCAAAAACAACCTTACTGGAAACTTGATCTCAGACTTCCAGTCTCCAAACTGGAAGAAAATTAATTTCTGCTGTTTAAGCCACCCAGTCTGTGATCTTCTGTTATGACAGCCCAAAACAACTGACACAAAGAGACAGATTTTTAGCCAATTCAGTACAAACAGAAAATAATAATAAATGCATGTGTGCTCAGTTGTGTCCAACTATTTGTGACCCCACAGATTATAGCCCACGAAGCTCTTCTGTCCATGGGATTTCCTAGGCAAGATATTGGAGTGGATTGCCACTTCCTCTTCCAGGGGATCTTCCCGACCCAGGGATCGAACCTGTGTCTCCTGTGTCTCTCGCATTGCAGCTGGATTCTATACTGCTGAGCCATCATGGAAACCCAATAATAAAATAATGAAATTGAAGCAAAAGATGAAACCTCTCATTGTTTAAAACGATGTGATTATCTACCCCCCCAAATCCAAAAGAATCAATTGACAAATTATCAGAATGAATAAGAGTTTACTGAAATAGCCAGAGTTAAAGAAAACTATTTTCAGGAATAATTTTCTTTCCTTAGAAAGAAAATGTGTTTGTTTCTTAGACTTAAGTGAAAACAAATTCAAAAATGTTTATTAGAAAATGTAACTAGCTTAAAAATCTATAAAATACTGAGAACTATATGAAAAAATAAATATGGAATATATGAGAAAATAAATGTACAGAACTTTACTGAAGGACATAAAAGAATATGTAAATAAATAAAAAGGTACATCACGATCCTTGACAACATTCAATGTTGTTAAAGATTCAACTGCTTCCAAATTACTCTATAAAGTCAGCACAATTCTTATTAAATTCCAAAATGACTTTTCATAGAATCTCAATACTGATTCTTGAAATTAATTTGGGAAAGAAAATATTCAAGAATATGCAAGAAATTTCTTTTAAAAAGAACCATACTTTGTTAATGTGAAAACATACTATAAAGCAATAGTAATTATGTTGTAGTAGTCATTTTGTTAATGATCCATGAACAGGCAAACAGATCAATGGAAAGAGAGTATTGAAGCAGATCAGCTTTTCAAAAAATGTTTATTATATATGTTACAAATATTTCTTTCCAATTTGTGGGATCTTAGTTCCCTGACCAGGGAACAAACCTGCACCCCCCAACACTGGCAGTGCAGAATCTTAACTTCTGGACTGCCAGGGAAGTCCCAGACCAGTTTAACACAGAGTCAAGGTGGTATTTCAAGTCAGTGTAAAAATAATGAACTACTCAATAAACGGTGGTTAGGGCAACTGGCTATCCATCTGGAAAAAATTCCCTCTTTCAGAATATAATTTAAAATAAAGTTCAGAGGATTAATTAATTAAACCTAACATACACATGTAACGTGCACACACACATACAAAATGCTATATTAGAAACAAACAGAGTAAATAATTGATTGGAAATCGCTCTTGGACAAAACCCCAAATAGGGAAGGCTATACAGTGGAGCTGGCTTTGACAGGGGTTTGAAAAACAGGTGGAGTTCGTGGAGCAGAGCCGGCAGGTAAGGGCAGGGTAAAAGGTGTGGAGGCAAGAAAGCATCAGGGAAGAGTGGAGTTTGGGGACAGAAGCGAGGCTGATAGCTAGAGCGGGAGGAGGGAGAGCCATGGCATCTTTGGAGAGGTCGTTGGGACCGTGTCGGAGATGATGGGGAGGGACTTCCCTGGAAGTACAGTGGATAAGAACTCGTCTGCCACTGCGGGGGACACGGGTTTGATCCCTGGTTCAGGAAGATCCAACGTGCCTTGCAGCAACTAAGCCCCTGCGCCACAACTACTGAGCCTGCAGTCTAGAGCCCGGGGCCGTAACTACCGAGCCCGCGTGCTGCGAGTCCCGACGCCCACACGCCCAGAGCCTGTGCTCCCAACCGGAGAAGCCACCCCAATGAAAAGCCCAGGCGTCACACAGAGAGGAGACCCCACCCACTGCAACCAGAGAAAGCCTGTTTCCAGCAACAAAGGCCCAGCACAGCCAAAAACAATAAATAAATAAATATTAAATAAAATGGAAAATAAAATCTTTAATATAAAAGATGATGGGGAAGCAGAATGAAGGGTTCAATGGAAACAGGTTATCAGTCTGAAGACTTGTAGAGAGAGTGGTCAACAAGTAATGTCATTTTTATCTGCTTACTCTTTCCATTTGCAAATGTAGCTGCCCACCACTAGCTGGGCATCTTTGGATGGTAGAACCTGGCCTCCTCCTGAAGGAAGGGAAGTGAGAAGGGAGAGGAGCACAATGGTTTGTGACCAGGTCGGCATGGAAGGCTGCCGCTGCACTTGAAGAGCCTGCCATGCCAATCAGGAGTGGGATGTATTAGGTAAGAATCAGGGGATTCTCACAGTTGGAAGGCAGGATCTTGGGACCTTAAGGTGGAGTCATCTTCAGGTGAAGAACAGTGAGGACCACGCCCATGGAGTGTTACCAGGAATGGAGAGGAGGTGGCGCATTCAGACATTTGAACTGGAGAACTGGCAGGAGTTAGGCATGTTTGGAGGCTGAAGGGAAGGAAGGAGCTGAGAGGCCTCCAGGGAGTGAGGTCTCCAATGGAGAGCAGGGTGGCAGCCCTGACTGAGACTGGGATGCAGGCTTGGCGGGAGGGCGGTGGGTTGATGTGTTGGCTACAGGCCTGCAGGGGATGCAAACGGAGGGGCCCAGGATGTAGTTGGAAATGACTGTCTTGTGCTTTATCAGGTTGGCCAAAAACTTCATTTGGGTTCACCATAAGATGTTACAATCATTAGTTTCATGGGGACCGTGTGCTATCAGGGATTGTAACTCCTAAGAGGACACAGATGTCTCTTGGTATGTGAGGGATGCTGTGCATTCTCATCTCTGAAACATGCACAGACACGTGTGGATGCCCAGTTTTCATAGCATTTCAGAGATTCAGGCACATGGTATTTTCCACCCTTTATCTTTATCAAGTTAAAATTTACATATAATAAAATGTACCCATATTAAATGTATC